TCATTCCTACATGTTACAACTAAAACATTTTTCAGGAGATGGACTCGACGTGGACCACCACTGTGCTCCTGGTGCCCTGCGTGGTCCTGCTAACAGCTGGATTTTTCTACCTCTATGGTGTAATCATGGGACTGTTGTCCAAAACGTCTGTACGCAACAAGGTGGTGGTTATAACTGATGCTTTATCTGGGCTTGGAAAAGGTAACACACACACAAACACTTTGGTAATTTTAGGTGAGCCTTTTCACAGCGTCTTTAAACTGAACTTGGTTTCTTAGCAGTTCTGTATGTTGTGTGAAGAGTGTGCAGGCGTGTTTCACAAAGGAGGCGCGAGGCTGATCCTCTGCGGGAAAAACTGGGAGAAACTCGAAGAACTCGCTGATGATTTGGCAAATTCTTCGGATCCAACAGTGGTAAGTCTAAAAGCACTGAAATTAGAGATGATAACAGCTCGTAGACCGAAGGATCGTTGACAAAGTACTCAGTGAAGTACACTATACTGCCAAAAGTATTCACTCACCCATCTAAATTATTGAATTCAGGTGCTCCAATCACTTTCATGACCACAGGTGTAAAAAACCTAGGCATGTAGAGCGATCCCAACTTTGTGCAAACAGTTTGGGGATGGCCCCTTCCAGTTCCAACATGGCTGAGCACCTGTCCACAAGTCTGTGCTGGAGACTTGTGAAATGGATGAGCAAGTTTGGTGTGGGAGAACTTGACTGGCACAGTCCTGACCTCAACCTGACAGAACACCTGTGAGATGAATTACAGTGTAGCCTGTGACGCAAGCCTTCCCGTCCAACATCAGTGTCTGACTTCACAAATGGGCTTCTTGAAGAATGGTCAAAAATTCCCAGAAACAATTCTAAACCTTGTGGAATGCCGTCCCAGAGGAGTTGAAGCTGTTATGGTTGCAAAGACTGCCCCAACATCTCAGTAAACTCTGTGGATTAACAATGGTATGTCAGACGAGAAGAATCCTTTGGGCAATATATTGAATCAGTACACTGTAAAAGATGTGATCACTAATAATGTGCAGTAAAGCGTTCGTTTTCACTGGCATTTATTACCAGGCTGCATTTTTTGCTGGTGGAGCTGCTCTTTGGGTCTTTGGTTGATTGTAAATGTCAAAGTAATTAAAAAAAAAATGAAGAAGTGAAAACTTACATTTTCTTCCCTTTTAAGTTGATGAAACATTTTTGAATTAACTTGAACCACCTTTTCAGAATTACTACGCTCCACATAAAAAGAGTAATTTCAGAGTTTTTGCTGTTCAGTATAATCAGAGTTTGCAGTGTGAAATAATGACTTAAATGTTTGAATGCAACAAAGCCAGAGAGCCTCTGAGTATGAGACGCCCCTTTTTTCATATAATCACCTTATGTGAAAATCACCTTAATCGGATCCTAATTAAGGGTTTGACTGAAAAGATCAAAGTGAAGCGACAGATGTGCATGAAGACTTGATGAGCTTCAAGCTCTTTTATCAAAGCTTCATAGATAATATGAACCCTCAACGGTCCTAGAACAGTTTGAACCTGTATCTTTTCTGACCCTTAATAGGCCAATCGAAAAGCTCTAACTCTCACTCTCGTCACGATGTGCTTCCTCTCGCATTATCAAAAATGCCCTGAACACTATAGGACCCTGCATCTCACTTCTAATGAATTCATCCCTCTTATCAGGCTGCGTCCCTGCTGCTTTCAAACATGCAGTCGTTCAACCTGTTATCAAGAAAAGTAATCTTGATCCTGATGTCCTTTCAAACTACAGACCGGTTTCTAAACTTCCTTTTGCTTTTGCCGCACCAAAACTCTGGAACAGTTTGCCGATTGATGTCCGTGCGTCGGAATCCATCCAATCCTTTAAATCACGTTTAAAAACCCACCTGTTTAAGCTTGCCTTCCAAACAACTTAGTTTTTAACTTTTCCCCAGTTCATGCTTGTTGCCACGTCACCATCTTATAACTGTATTATCTTTTGCTGATAATTGCATTTTCCTGCTCCTTTACTGCTGTAACCCCGCAAATGCGGCTCATCTGTGAAGCACTTTGAGGTACCTGAGACTTTTAAATGTTCTATAAAAATAAAACTGAAACTGAAACTGAACTGAATATCATAGATAACTATAGCTTCAGGAAAACTAGGAAAACACTAAGAATTTACTGGGGAAAAGGAGGTAAAGTAGACAGTGAAGACAACAGTTCTGAATATACAAAGGTCGTGTCCAAATTCATGGGCTGCATGCTCCTGAGGCCGCATTTGTAGACCGATTACGTGCAGCCGACAAATGCGTCCTCCTTTTTCCCGAATTTGAAGGATGGGTCGGGTGTGTCCTTCGTGGCCTACCATATCCCAGAATTCATAGCGCGGCCCA